TAATTATAAGTTATAACGGTACGAATCTTACTAATAAATAACCTAAACAGGTACCCCGAACGGATATTAAATATGGTAAAAAAAGTATTTACTTATAATCGAATATTTACATTATTAATTACTATGGGTACCTACCTATACGGGTGGCATAATTATGCTAGTATTGTTATTCATATGTAAAATTGCAATGTTTGATTTATTTTTCTAAAATATTTAATTTTTTTATTATTTAGTTTATTTATTATTATACAATGGGTACTTAGATAAAAATATAAACTGTAATTATAATAATATAATATACCATAGTGCCGCGTGGAGGGTCTCTGGAATATATAAATATCTTGCAACGAATTGACCAATGAAAATTAATTTTTAACACGCAATTAAGTCGTTAACGTTTTGTTTTTATGATTTATTTATATAAATATTTAATATACTTTTATTAAAAATGTTAATATGAATAAAGTTATTTTTTTTTATAGGTGTAAACTTTAAGTTTAAAATATACTTATATTTATAGTTTCATATTGATATTTATTGATATAACAAATTTAAATACTTGTTTTACTAATAAATTATGTATACTTATTTTTATAATATTGTAAATTACACGAAACTTCATTGTGATTGTCACTATTGACATTTCACATTAACACGTGATAACGTGTCAAGTAAAATGATGTTCTCTAGTTTATTTGTTTTTTGGACTCAATGAGTATATTACCTATATAGTTTTTCCAGTTCAATTACGATCACTGAAGTATATAACTTAACATACTGTATAATCATTTCATTTTCCTTATCATATTTTCAGTATATATTTTTATTATACGAATTATCTGATTTTTGGAAGCATTTCTGATAAGACACGAACTAATAGTTCTAATTATTTTTTTTTTATGAATGTATAGAATTATGTATCATAATTATTTTTATATTATGTTTGATATAATCCAGAGAAATATTTTTACGTCGTTGTAAAGGAGATACCTCATTTTAACGTACCTACTTAAAAAACTTGTAACAGTTTTTCGATTTAATTTACTTCTTTACTACAAGTCTTCCCATTTTATGGTGTTAATAAATAATCACGATGAATGCATTCAATATAAATTTAAAGCATAGCATTTCCATATAGGTTTATTATACCAAAAATATACGTATGTCGATTTGTGTATGTGTCGAGTTAATGCGATGAAAAATATCATACCTCGACATCAAACGGTCAGTTGAAAAAAATAACAAATGAGTGACGCAATTACCGTGTACCGCATTAGAAAATCTTGTTTGTTTTTTAATCGTTAACTATTTTGTTTTTTATCAATTAGCCGTGTACTTATAAAGTGTGCGTTTAATACAGTGTTCTCACTACACTGTGAAGATTTATGCGTGCGGGCCAGTATGTAATTCTCGGCAGAGTTGTTGTGCGTTTAGTCATGTAGTTATACGTACAGACCGACATACGGACACAAGACACATAATATAAAATAACGCGCTATAGTTATAACGTGTACGCATAATATAATATTACATGTGTGTAATATGCCTACAAGAGGCGTAAGTGCATGTGTGTGTGTGTGTGTGTGTGTGTGTGTGTGTGTATGTGCCTATATATTATTGTACCATTAAATGGAATGCCGTAGCGTCAAGCTGTCTGCTCTGTTCGGGCACTCTTGCTGTACATACACGTCCTATATAATGTTACTATATTTATAGGTACCTACGCGTCTGCATGTGCGTGCGAGGGCAATGCACACACGTCGCGGCCTCAGAGGATAACGCGGTGAAATAATAATAAATAAATAACCCGATGGAATATTATTATTATTATTATTATTACTGAACGCCCAAAGTAAATTACGACCACCACGTGTGCATGGTGTTGCACCTATATAAACGTTTTGGCCATTACCGCGACGACACAAGACGTGTTATATTTTATACATACTCATATAATATGTATAACGTATATTGTTATTGCTTTAGTTTGTACACTTCGTGATGTGTATAGTATATATAGACATATAGTGATGGACGCCCGACGTACCTAAACGAGCATCGTATTATTGTGTGTGTCGACGACACTGAGAATTCATGACTTTCGGTATTTAATATTTATCATACTTTATGAATTGACTTTTTTTCGGGATTTTAGAATATTTCGTTTTTTTAAAAAAAAAAAAAAAAAAACATTTAATTCTAACTTTTTAAAAATTAACCAATTATTCCGTATTCATATGATTTTCACGAGACCGAGTTAAGATCATGTATTAAAAATAAATTATTGAAAAATCTAGACACTATTGACTAACACTACCTCACGGAGTAAACCTTTCACGCGAAAAATATTTTACTCAAAATGTTTTTAGTCTTCCGTTGGAGTGTTTCTCAATTCCGGATGTACGATCAATAGACGATCGTATTTTTTTGATGTAAATATTGTACACGATCTTAGTGACTTAGTAATTTAAATCTACTTAAAGTCTACTTATGACAAAATTCACTAATTACACTTCTATAAAATTAAAATATAATCTCGTTTAGATACATTTTAAAACTTCAGAACATTTTTTTCAAATGCTATTTTTATTATTCGTGGTAAATACGCGCGTTTCAATATTCTGTTCTAAATACCTAAATAATCTGAGCAAAATACCAAACACTAATTACATTAGTGTGACCATCGGCATATTCGATTGAAACAAGTTTATTAGCGTACATTTTTAGCGTTTCTATACGACCAATACCGATACGTTATATATAATAAAATCATTTTACACTATTCATATTTCATATAGGTATTATTATTACGTGTATTAAATATTATAATATCGAACTTAAACTTCGTATAAACTTATTATAACTTCGTTATTATAGATTTATGATGTATATTTCATTGCACGCTTGAACTACAGAATAACTTCAGTACACGTACAGCGTGTTTGCGTATGTTCGAATGCGTAGCGCCGCCAATATAATATTAAATGCATAGAGAAAATTTAGTGCGGATCAAAAATAAATATTGTGTAAAATCGATTTCGTATCCGAGGTTAATGGCGTTAAATACAGCAATCTGGGATTGCTTAATTGACTCCTGTATAGACTCAGTGATAAATTAATATTTTCGGATATTAAAACAATCCGGTTATCCGTACGGGTGACCTCGCTATGCACCGTCGCAGTGGATCTATCTATATAAGCCGTATATTATTGTGTGTACCTACGTTGAGCGGTGTTTCAAGGGTATAAAAAATAATAGAGAAAAAAACTATAATCTAAATATTAGTTATACGCGTCAATAATATTATACATGGTATTATATATTATAATAGCCGACGTTCATTCGTGTACGAGACACATCTTCTGACCTCTATACACACACGCTAATCGCCATATAAAACGGCTTATTATTAGTTTACAGCAACGTTTATTATTATTAGGTATTATTATTTTTTTTCACCCGTCGATTCGGTTTTTCTATACTCTTTTTTTTGTACGTTGTTATCCGCTTTCTTGTACATAATAAAGTTGAAATTCCTGTGTACTTTATATGCCAGGTATATTATACCTACACCGTCCTATTAAATTATATTATCATCACGTTTGTGTGTATAAAAACCAAATTTATAAAAAAAAAAAAAAAAAAACATTTCGAGGTAGCTTCTCATTTTATTCCAAATGGATATGTTATAACATTTTATCATAAATAAATATCGTTAAAGTAACGCATTTTATAATATAACATAATATACACGGTGTAGAGAGAGGAGGGTATTGATAAAAAGCAATGGAACATATCATTTGTTTTTCTCTAAAAACCAATACCCGGAAATTGTGTAATACGTAAATTAATTAACTCATTCGAATTTATAAATAATAATAATTTTACTATATACTGATGGAAAAAAGTGTTATCAAATTTTAAAATCAACTAATACACAAATTTCAGTACAATAATTCAATTACAATTTATGAGTGTTTAATCATATTAAATATTAACCTTGTTTTGCTTCTTTATTAATTTATACATTTAAAATCGTAAAAATTATTTAAATATGTTTATTTAAAATTATATTATACATTACAATTTTTTTTTTTTTTTATTTAGTTGACCCGCGGCTACTAAGGCCATTGGGTTTTGTTAATGATTAGGTTAACATAATATTAGAAGAAGAGAAAAAAAAAATAATAATGATAATAATAATAATAATAGTAAATATAAGGAGAAAATGAAAGATAAACAACAAAAAAAAAGAAAGAAAACAAAGACAAACAAACAAACAATAGTGATAATATTGGATTTTGATTTTAGATCTTGTTGAGTAAATTTGATCCTGTGACGAATTTGATAGTAGCTGATATAGAGCTGGGATCCGGGTTGAGTGCTGACGATAGTGATTCTGTAAGCATGAACTTTTCTCGGGAATGATCGAATGCACGGCATTCTGTGAATATGTGTTTAATGTCAAGTAGGACTCCGCATGCAGGACATATAGGGGGGTCTTCTTTGGCCATAAGAAAGCTATGTGATATTTTAGTGTGTCCGATTCTTAGTCTTGTGATTATGATTTCAAGTTTTCTGGGGAATTCCAGGGGGAAAGGCCAGTAATATACATTACAATATAACTATTATTAACGCTTTATTACACTTATACAATATTAATTATTGATGATATATAGTCTTCACCAAATGTATTTTTAAGATAATAACAATAATAATAACTACGTATACTATATTTTAAAAATATAGATAAATTAAAACATGCTTATTTTTTGTTACATACATATCAATTTAATATTTATAATATGGTTTGGTCTTAAAATAATAATATATTGACAATTATTATATTGTGTTTAATTCGTTAATAATTTATAATAACCACCGATGTTATTGGGATGATCCATTTAAAAGAAGATAATATAAATGTTCCTAGATCAATTTATTTATTTTAATTGCCAACTAATAGTAAACTTAATCGATTGATTTTTTTTTATTTCAGGTTTGGAAACAATGGTTGGACCATTAAACTTCGCAAAGAGGAGACGAGACGAAGCATGAAACTTATTTTCCTTATTGTCAAACCGTTTCGTATAGACTTTTAAATGGTATATGTACATATTCGTACTGTTGTAATTTTATTATAGCGTTTTAATACTAAAACAGATGTACAATATTATATAAAATAAATTTTAGACGAAAACCTTTTATTATAATCTGTGTTTATAGAAAACAATAACAATATCGTAGCTTTAATAAAACATTACGATGTATAACTAGTGTCTAGTACCTATTTACTGTATGTCTGTGTATTATATTATTGTATTTTATGAATTAATGTTGTCCGTAGTGTTTTGATGATGGTTTAGACAACCCTGTCAGTTGTTATTGTATCCAAAAACTATTCAAGAGATATTTAAACATAATGATAATAATATTTTAAATTATGTTTTTGCTTCTATTATATAAATAAAATAAAATACAAAATTTAACAAAATATAATATGATAAGAGCATTATTAATTATAAACTAATATATACAACAATTATTGTAAAGTATAAAATTATTTTCAGGTCAACCAACCGTATGGCTATAAAAATATTCATTCTATATACTAGGTACATTGTATACTTTAATATGGATTTTGTAGGTTACGTAATTTTTGAACGTTAGGTATACAATTGATTTGTCTGCCGTAAAATGAAATTATGCATTCACGTGAATTATTTTATAATCCCTAAAATAAAATTAATAAATGTTTCAACTTGAGACATTTATATGCTATAATAATATATGGTGTTGGATTAATAACAGAGTATCGAAATCGTTTGGGTTGTCGAGAGGGGTGAGAATAAATCGTGCGGCCACGGTTAATTCGTTGAAAACATATTATTGTTAAAATAATATTACATAATATTATGTAGGTACTCCACCTAATATATTTATAATAGCTGGTGCCTATATAACGGCAAAACTTCTTTTTAATTTCGTTAGCTGCTTTCACGCAAATATAATAAATAATATGTACGGGACTCGAGCGTAATATTATAATAAACGCATATGAAATTATAAGTACGAACAACGTTAAATACGCCTGACATAAAAATAATAAATATTTTGAATGCCACTGTGCGATTCCAACGACCCAATAACTACGCTACGGATCGTTTGTTATGACCACACAATACCATATCTAAATACAAGTACAACACAACACATTACACTGCACTGCTTTACTTGGCAATTAAAAGGAAAAAAAAATAATTTCTTTCATGATCAATTTGACGTTGCTCGCGGCCTCACACTGCACACTCGTTCTCTTTTTCTTTTTCTCTTTCTTTCTTATTACCTGCTAAAAAATATTATTTTTTTTCTCCATATTATAATATTATGCTCAACGAGTGTGGATCGAGAGAACATGCACCTAATTATCACGGGTCAACTGGCGCGCGCAACAAACGTAATTTAAAACATTTTGTATTAGTGGCCAATAGACCGACCTCTATTAATCCATTCCGAAATGCGCGTTTTGTCCGACACTACGACGTGCTATATAATACACCGCAAACGAACGAAATAATAATAATGACCAAGTGCCGGTGTACGCACATAAGCTTTGTCGGGTCATCCGCGATGAAGAATCCCGTGAAATTTCAATGCAGCACGATTCGCGGAATCGAACCATCGGTTCGTGAAGAGGAATAGATCCGCAGTTACAACCGCAACGTCGGTTTGGTCCACTGCGCCTACGTTGTCGAAAACGACTAGACCGCTAAATGAAAATAATAATATAATAATACTGGTGGAGGTAATAGTGTTATGATAATATAATAAAATGGTATAAAATATGAATTAAAATCAAAGATTTTTTAAAAAACACAATGATGATTGTATAAACATCGTCAGTCACACCAATCCGCGTCATTAGGTAACGAAATAAATAATTATATTATATTATGCAATATTTAGAGCTAAGAGGAGACAATTATGCAAAATGCAAATACATAATATATTAAATACAGCTTACCAAATTTAACTAGAGTTGAATATATAGTTGAAATCCATTTGAACAATACCAGCTTAAGTTGTGTACAAAATATTTTATACACATACTTATGTATTATATATAACTTCGTTATGTTTTCATAATTGTAAAGGTACATAAAAATGAAAAGCTAAAACTTGAAAATGTAATATAATTTGATATATTATTAAATTATTTATAGGTATACTATCAAAGATTTATATTGTGACTTATATAATGAAAACATAAAAAATATCGATCACAAGTTTCTACACGAGAGTAACAAGTAAAAAATTACATACGTTAATTCTTACATGGTAAAAAAAAGTACTTGATGTGTTATTCCTACATCAACTGTACACTAATTTCACATTGATCGTTTATCTGTGGTTATTGCAATAGTATGAAGTATGTGTATTTATTGTATAATCGCATTCGTTATAACGACCAAGGGCAAAATCGAGTCGGGTCCCAGATTTCAAAAACAGCCTAAGTTGGGTCCCGTTATATTTTATAAAGTATATGAATTGGGAATAGCCTATTTTCGTTATCCAGAAGACACCATACGTAGAGGTCGGTTAGAATGTGACGCAAAAATTTTGTTTTTTGTTACGTTAAGGTATATAGGTATTAGATTAATTTAAAAAAATAAAAAATATTATATATTATTTAGTAATAAATATTTGTATTATTTCAATTCTCCATAGTGATAAAGAAAAATAGTAATTTGTATGCTCTTTAGGTAATTAAATAATATTTATAACAGTAATATTTATTATAAGATTATATTATTTTTCCAGGGGGGAGGGCAAGTGTCCCGTCTTACTCCCCTCAATTGGCGCCCATGTACTGGCAAGTTACGTTGGACCCAATTCGAGTATTTTCGAATAATACAGTGTATTCAACTCGTGTATGCTTTTTTTTAAGGGATTAAATATCTCGGGAGCCAACTCTCCCATAATCAAGTAAATACATAGTACATAAAAATAAAAACCACAAAATAGTAACGTAAAAATAAAAATCAGTTAAAAGAAAGTTAATGAATCTGAAAATTTCAGATTATTAGACTAACAGAATTAATCAATGAAATTATATTGAGTACTTATTTAGGTTTTTAAAATAAAAAATATTTTTTTATAATTATCAAATGTAATTTATTTTTGTTTTATAAGACAATATCATCAGCTTATATTCTATACATAATATGTAAAATATAATTTATTTTTTTACAATTATCGAATTATGATATGTATTATATAATACATATAATAACAGATAAGCGGTTAATGTATAGGAATTAACAAGTGCACCTTTTTTTTTATTATGTAGAAATTTACATAAATGTATCATTGTTTTCACTATGTAAAAACTAACATACGATTTTTTTTACTTGTTAAATCTCGTATAGGAATTTACATTCACTCATATAATTAAATATTACATTAAATTTTCACACAGGAAAAAAAAAATAAAAAAAAAATATTAAAATTGTGCTAACTTACACCTTATAAAAATATATTTAAAAAAATTGATTATTTTCAAAATATTATACAATGAATCCGTTATAATTGTAAATATATAATATTACAATATATAACCTTGATTTCGACTGATGTAAATTGAATAAATGCTTAAAAATTAAAAGACAGTATCACATGAGTGATGTCCAATAGAGATACCGCTACTGTTAGGGGATTCGTGGTGACAGGGGTAACTCTAAAATAAAATACTTGGCTGCTTGGCACCTTTGTAAAACGTCTGCAATCGAGTAAACTGACATTATACATTTTCAATGAAACCGCAAAAGTTTATTATTTTTGTGCGGTCGTTAAAAACGGACCATGGACTCACATATGAACCCATGTTCATATTATGTATATACAACAATACACAAGCTATTCACATATTATATTATATATCTACTTGTATTGTAAAAGAGAAATGATCAACTCGATGACATCTGCAGCCGTCGACCAACGTCTGCACCAGTGAAATAAATATATTATATTAACATATAATAATAAACGCACTGGACCGCAATCGTATATGTATATTGAATACTTATGTATATACTGGCTATATAGGTATACAATGTGTGAATAATACATATATAATATTATTATATTATGTCGTATTCGGCTTTTGCGCTGCGTTATAATAGCGAGTCCGACGCACGAGAGCAAACTAGATTCCATTCCACTCAAAGTGTTTTACTTGATAATGATATTCTCCTTATTCGGTCAACCGTGTGCGTGATGCGATTATTATTGTCACGGTTAGTTCTGAATGCGCCATGTATACCTAGTATAAAATTATAACATACAATTATTGTAACAATATAATGTTTACAATAACCCAACAACGCGTATTGTGAAAAGTCGATGTGTGTTAATACTCGCCCAGTATATTATGCGTTTCCAGCTTAAGAAAAAAAATTTAGCTTTACACATTCGCGGATCACAATATAATATAATATACATAATAACACACGCAAGTCACCGATGTTACGATCAATCAAAAACACGCCTTGTCGCGTTTATGTACGCATATAATAGGTATAGGTACGTGTATATGTTATATCAGATATCACAGGTAGGATCGAACAGTAATCACTACAGGTGTTAAAAATTGCTTAACCAAGTAACTTTTAACTTTAAATCAGTTATAACTTTCAAGGAACTTAAAAAAATAGCTATAATTTCAATTTTTATCGAAAATTTAAATACATATATATTATTATTTTTAAACAATTTTAAAATGTTTTTAAATTATTATTGACTTAGTTACTAAAGATTGCGATTTTTTAAAAAAAAAAAACACCAATGCATTAAACTAAACAAATAATTTAGTACAATTTATGAGTAATTTGATTCATAATAAAATTATTATCTTAGATCCAGAAAAAGCGACTACAGAAAATTTATTTGTGTCCGTAATTAGCATATAATCTTATACAATTATATATTGAGCACATCCGCGATAAATATGGTTTTCATTACTTTTTCTGCGACTATAGGAAAAATTAGACTATATTACGATGTTCTTACACTTTTATACACGTCAACTAAAATCATTAACGAGAAATGTATTTATTGTAAGTATAAAGTATTATTAAAAGTGAGTTTCTCTATATAGCTCACCCCTTGAATCAAACCTTGAAC